TGCATTTTCGCGCTTATGAGGTTTGCTCTTAAGAGTTGAACGCGATAGCGAAATCCGGCCCCTAGTGCACCCTTCAACCGCTAAGTGCATACTTATTCTAATGTTTTGTTACATTGTAGTGTACACGTAACCCGAAGGAGTACGGCCACTAGCGGGGCTCCGTTCTTAGCGAGCCCCGCAGGGCGCGTTAAGCATCGCCGTGGCGAGAACATGATACTGCTCAAGGTCGCAACACATTATTGTCTGTGGCAACACCGAAACGCAGTACAGCCTGTTGCAAAGGCGTGGCGGGAAAGCAAATGGGCTTATCTACGCCACGGGCGCAAGTACTACACAGGGTGCCACGAGCACGTCTCCAGGGTAAAAGTGATTCACGGATACACCGGGACCAAGGCCCGGTTGCTCGAGCGAGGGCAAAGGCGCTCCCGTTCGCTTCGGAGAGATACGGGTCGGCGTAGCCTTGCCACGCACTATGAATCCGCACCACTCTTCGGATTAGCGTTCGGAAGGAGGGGGGGGAGGGGGGGCATAAGGTAAGCGTTCGCCACGCTCGCAAGGCGCTCTAGGCGAAATCCGAACGAGCCCCGCTGAAGTACAGTGTACACTTCTGGTACACTCTAGCAGGGTGCTGACGGACGGAAAAGAAAAGCGTGCTCACCCCCATGTCGTACCCGGAGAGGCCTTTCCACTTCCGACGCGCGCGCGCAAAACCTCTCGGGGGACTCTGCTAAAGCCCCTAGATCTAGAAAGTAGCGACACTCTCCTCCGCGCGCGCGTTTTCCTCCTCAATTCTCCTCGGATTTCTCCCCTCTCTCGGCCGGCGCGGTGCGCACGGCACGCTGAACCCTCCACTGGCTCGCTGCAGCCGCATTAGATTCAATGCGCGCGCTTGTTTAATCAGCTCCTTGAAGCATTATACGAGAATATGTCCCTTAAGAAAGAGTCGTGACGAAAGTAGGCTTCCCATAGAACATTATGGCAGACATATTTTTTAAGACGATTCGATAAATACGAGCGGAAGCGCTTCGAAAAAATGAGCATACCAGCTGGCGGCTTAGCGGTTTACCTCTCCGCCGCCGCTTCGGCTGTCTGTAACGCGGATGTGTATTAAGCGCATGTAATGTAGGCAGCACATTGTATAGACGAGAACTTGATAAGTGCTGCAGTGTCGCTTTGTAAAATTCATGTTGTGTTGGCGAAAAGCAAGCATAGAAGTCACCGTGCGTGCCTGGCTTCCGTCACGATGAAACGACGAGATATTGCATTCCATTAACTTTGGGACTTACCTCAGTCTGTTAAAAAAAAAGCAAAACCCACCGCTCAGATGGAAGCTTCTAAGACTATGTTACGCTATAATTAACTCACAGAATTCAGGATGTAAAGTTTATCAGAAGAGAGCCATTACGAAAAGCGCGTACGTGGCTCTTTCTTTATATGAGCATACACGCATAATACATACATGTACCAAATACGTAACTTTGCTTCCGTGCGTATGGCTATTTACTTTACGGCTGCTGCCAAGATATCATTGAGCGGTTGTTAATTGACTTATTAAGACGAAAGCCTTAGCTGCCTCATCAAACGCGGAAATTGACCGTTGGCGACCCGCGTCGAAGGCGTCTCGCGTCCCGTGGCATCGGTGACTATATATAGTGATGAAAAAGGTCATCATCTGGTGACGTCACCAAACACGTCACAGATCGCCAAAATTTGTGACGTCCTGAGGCACCCCACCTGGTTTTGCATTGCCTCCGTGATCGGTACATCTTTGACAAAGCTACGACGCGATGTGATGACGTCATCATGTGGCGCTACGTGACGTCCTTGTGACGTCATCATGACGTCGTCACATGATGACGTCATCACATCGCGTCGTAGCTTGGTCAAAGTAAAGCCCCTAGATCTAAGGGCTTTAGGTCAAAGGTGTACCGATCACGAAGGCAATGCAAAACCAGGCGGGGTGCCTCCAAACTTGGAGGTAGTGCAAAATCACGATAGGCGCAGAAAGCTTTGGAAGGGTGGCGGGGCAGCATCAATACACCTAAATACAATGGCTGAGAGGAAAAAGAAGATTGTTTTCGCCTTCGAGTCGTCCTAAATGAACGCATAAAGAAACCTGTGAGATGTTTTACTTTAGCCCTAACCAACATATGTTCTTCTATATGCACGAAGGTCGAAGGAGTATAATCGTTTGATTTTATTCAAAAGAATAATTCAATGAAAAATGCTACCGGTGTTTCATAACTGATGGCATTGAACTACAAAATAATCAAGGCGGCGCGGAAGGTTCCGGACCGGACTGGTATGTGGTTCTAAAAATGTACTACTCTAGCTACGAAGTATTTCTCCTCGACTGAGAAGTTGTTTGTCGTTAATTTCTTGAACACAGTTTATCATATTAACTAAATTTTGAGGAATATGTAACTATGATTGCAATAGGAAGGTAGTTCTACTTGCCGTAAATTCACTGTGTCCAGTGAACCAAGAAAATGCATGTAGGCTCACTGTGCAGTTAGCTGAAGAAGAAAAGAAATTTCAGTAGCAACACGTTTATTTTTGCGCAACAATGAAGAACCGCTCGTTGTAAGAAATTCGAAGCCAAGGCGCATGCTATTTACGCCCAAGTTATCTCTACATGGGTTACATGAACAGCAAGACAGCTCTCATACAGTAAAGGTCTACCTACATATATATTGTTCAGAGGTACTGCGCATGCTACAAACGTCGTTATTCTAGCGCTACACACACAACGACGAAATAAATCGCATCTGCTACAGGCGGGCACAATTGTCAGCGTATGTTTGCCGCAGCGACGTGCATGCCAACGCTTTTGCTTGCACACTTGCCGTTTGTAGCGGGGACTATTTTTGATGCCTCGTTTCTGACAAAAATGTGAATTCGCAGTTTGGCATAGACGCCTACAATATCTTTAATGATTTCATGGCATGCAGGGAAACAAGTCACGATGGAAATGCTTCTAGGGACTGCAGCCTGAAGTTCTACAGCGGTCACAGTGTTTTTTATGAGTGCCTCTCTGTTGCTTCTGAATAAGTTTTCCGTCACCTTGAGAATCTCCACGACAGCAGGCGAAGGGTTAACCAGCGCAAGGCCCGACTCTGAGAAGTTCTTCAGTGAGATTAATTTTGCTGGTGCCTTATCGCTGACGAGTGCGGCGCGGCAGTTTTCACAGTGCAGCCGTTTCAGCAGTTTGGATACAACATACCCTGCCAAGTATTCTATCGACTGACCTGCTTCACTTGTTAGATCGAGTAGGTCATCTGGAAGTTGCACTTGCTCCTGACCCTCATTTTTCGGCTGGTCTTCAAGGGATAACAGCATAAACGCTCCATCATCCGAATAATTGGCGTTCTTGCTCGGCCTTAAGAACTGTGCTAACGTAGCACTCCTCAGACTGCACTTGAATTCATACAATCTCGGAATGGGGTTTTTCGAGCGCAGGGTTGAAAACAAGTTCTCAAGTGGGTCCTGGCTGAGTCTGCTCAATAAGAAATAGCTGAAGTTATACTTGTCAAGCATAGTAGATTGAAGATATAATGCAGTCAATGTGGCGACAGTGATGCCGGTCTGTATTGGCTTCCAAGGTGCATTTGTCGGAGCCCCTATAGAAATCTTTGAGAATAAGTCAACAATTTCAGTAAGGAACTTAACAGCTTCACCATAAGCTGCTTGCACTGAATGGCTAAACGCCAGTTTACTAGTCCTTGATGTCATTAGCCTAAACCACCGAAAAACGGTCGAAATGAACCAAGCCGTAGTCAGTGCGTCCTTGCTAATCTTACCATTTTCAACTAACATGTGCAAGCCAGCAGATGTATTGTTATGAAATAGACTGTATGCGAATTTCACTTTCATTTTGTCATAATGGTTTGGCTCAACACAAGACGAGTTAAGGTGAGGAGCAAGCTTGATCTCACTTTTTTCATCGTGTTCAATAAGTTCTTTCACATAACGAAGATCAACACAGTTTGTAGGCAGTTGATGCATTTTCACGATGTCATCGGGAAGGTAAATAGCCTGGCCTCTTGTCAGGTGATTTCTAAGGCTCTTCAAAAGGTGAGGCACATCTGGCATAAACTACAGTCGCCTTGACTGATCACAAGGGTGAACACAGCTAGTCGATGGCCGGCTATACTTTCCAGCAACGAATACCGAACAGTCGCCATAATGCCAGATTTCCGCCACCCGTATCGGATACTAGCACATGAATTTTTAATCCGAGCGACTCACAAGCCGTTATTATGTTAATCAATTCGCTTCTTAGGCTGTTCGCGTCAAACGAATTTCCAGTTAAATGATAACCAATTGTCTGCTTCCACCTAGATGAGAATCCCCCGAGCATAAAAACTAAGCCGTGGGTAGCAAGACAGTCGTCTGGGAGCGATCCGTCGGCCAGTGGTAACGTAGGAGCTCCCATCACATTACAGCAGGAATGGTCATATACGAGCCCTGGTGTAATCTACATCTCATCGATCATCAACGAAGCATGGCGTTCTTCAGGTTGCATAAGGTTGACCTGCACAATGGAATTACCAGACGAAGAAAAAACAAGTCATTTTACAGAAGTTTTAGTAGATTAGAAAGACATGTGTCAAGTTATAGCAATGGGCCAAAATCATTTTCCCCCTAGAAGTTCCAGACGTAACCACAGGTTCAAGTATCCAGTATTTGTGTTTGCTACTATTTGCTGACACAGAAAATTTGGTGATGCAAGCGTTTAACCCAAGCCATACCTTCGCCCTTAGAGGCTCCAGTATATCTCTCAGTAATCCAGGTCGAAACTTGACGTGCTGAATGTGGCGCTGAAGCGTACGGTCCGACGGGAGTGGATATCCGAACTCCCTTAGGAGTCCGTATCCTCGGGAACCGCACGCCAGGCGCAGCTGCAGCGATTTGACGAGTGTGCCTGCTTCCCATCGCGCTCCCTGCGCGGACAGTCGTTCCATCGACCTCATTTGGTCATCATTAAAAAGTCCTCCTGAGCCTTTTCTTGATTTCTTCCTTTTCTTCTTCGCTTTTAAGATACCTCTTCCTAGCGAGCGCCAGTTTCCTCGCGGTAGCTTCCTGTAGACGTTCGAGCTCCGCAATTCGTCCCTGGATTGCTTCTTGGCACGCTGAAAGCAATTCAGACGTAAGCCCTCAATATCACATGTTACAAATTAGGATAAGTCCAAGTGTTCAACAGCTCGTCTCTTACAAGTGTAAAGCACAGGTCGTGCAGTACTGGTTGCGTTCATCGCCGGTTGACATGTAGTTCCAGGGAAGCCTGTTTATGGTGAAATGTCAATGCTTAGACCCCAAAATCCAAAAAAGCAACGTTTGGTTTACCATTATCAACTGCTGCAATATCTTGAGTTGCGTTGCTGCTGACCTCAGGGCTAAATCTGTCATGGGCTGCACATGAAAAGGACAGGTGGAAATATTTTGGAGAAACAAAATTACGGTGGCATTCCACACAAATCATTCAGGCGACTCTTACAGGAGTTGTCGTGGACGATTTCAAAAGGAGATTCCACCAGCTGGTTAACGTCGTTTTCGCAAACTTCGTTAACTTCGGGCTCTGCTACCTCTGCAGAAGAAGCGGAGCCAGCAGAGTCTGCCGATGCTGGGGAGCTACACTGATTTTCAGCAAATGCTCCTTGTTTGCTTGTGGTATGCTCCAGTACGGATTCCTCACCTATTGTGATACAACCAGAATACGCCCACATGTATTACAAACCCGCTGAATCACGTAATTCAAAGAAAGGTCAAATCACAAGATGGACACTCGCAACAGAACTCGTGCTTTTTATAAAATACTTTCGGCGCTTCGGCATCGAGCGGCCCTCCATAGTTTACGTGGCTTTCTGTAACAGGAATTCAAAACTACAATGACTTTTCTGCTACACTTTGACATAATTATAAAGGTTGGATTGAGATCGAATCATCGTGCTTAGGTATATGGCAAAAAACTACAATATTTTCCGCATTTCAGCGCCGTGTGTGTATTCTTTAATCACCATTCAGTGTGATGGTCTGATTTCGAACAACAGTATTTCTCCGTCACTTGTGCTCCATTATGTAGTTAAGATACGCATTAGAATGCTATATTTAATAAGGGAACGTCACTGAAGAGTGCCTTACGTTTTTTTGAGCATTTCTTGCGAATTTCCAACCTCTTTGACGGGGGTTTTCGTTCTTTTGGCGGCGGCCGATGCGAGAACAAAGTAGGAATTGCGTTGGGCTTCATTTTTTTCAGTCCATGGGCTTCCAATACTTTCGGCTCAAACTGATCATTGCTGAAATGGAGCTGAAACATGACCGTGATATATGAGTATACGCATAGTAACAAACACATCTCAAACACATCTCTCCCATTCGAATTCGTTTTCACTCTTGGAGTAAAAAACGGTGCAAGCATGCACATTTTTATTACACATGTAACAAAAACGAAACGTCATTTACCTACTTATATATTAGGGTCCAAGCCTTCGAAACATGAAGTGTACGTAAACAACAACAAAATACTATAACCGTATTGAAACTTTGTAAAGATACAGACATGCACGCAACAACAGTAAACGAGTTCCTGACTTCACAAGTATCCAGCCCAAGGTTCACGAACACACAAGCACGCAAGCACACACGAACGCACGAGCGCTCGCACACAGATACACACTCGCACGCACATACATACACACAAGCACAAACGCACGCACATGGAGGCGCACACGTACACGCACACACATACGTGCGCATACGTACATGCACACGCGCGAACGCAGACGCGCAACACGGAGCACATGCAGCACAACACACGCAGAACACAGCTCACGCAGGAGCACGCATACACACGCACACACATACACCGGCGCGAATACACAGACAAACGCACGCACACACGTCTGCACACGCACATACACACGCGCGAATACAGACGTACAGAAAAGCGCGAACACGCAGGCGCACACATGCACACACATACGTGCGCCCACACGTACACGCACACACATACGTGCGCACACGTACATACACACGCCCGAATGCAGACATGCGCAACACGCAGCACAGCACACGCACAACACAGCACACGCAGGCGCACGCTTACACATACACACACACACACACGCACCGGCGCGAATACATAGACAAACGCACGCACACACGTCCGCACAAGCACATACACACGCGCGAATGCAGACGTACAGAAACGCGCGGACACACAGGCGCACACATACACACACACATAAGCGCGCATATGCAGTCGCATACATACACACACGCATACACGCAGGCGCACACATGCACACACATAAACGCACACCCGCACGCACACACACACACACATGCGTAGGAATTACACACGTTAATTTACAAATTACACACATTAAGAAAACTAACGCACGCGCTAAAACACAAGAAAACTATCTCAGGGCACAGAGAATTACAAAAAAAGCTCAGCGACTCATTCAGACCCAGCTATATCCATATTTATATGTGCTCGCTATTAAACTGAACGGAGAGTCCAGCGATGCAAAGAGCATTAAAATCTTCGTACGACTTTATCTAGAGATTTAACGAAATCGGTAACACTAACCTCGCAAAGAACAACGTGTTTAGAAGGGGCGAAGTCCTTTCTCCCGATGTTGTGGATCCACTGCTTTCTGCGCACGGCATTCCTATTCCTATCTCCTCGGGGGATATAAAATAATCTTACTCCTTTCTCTGACCTGCTGCTGCACTGATACGCGCAACAGCCAGGCATTGCCACGAAAAACGAAGCTCACGATTCTACGCAAAAAAAAAACACACACACACACACACGTTCAGAGCGGCAGGGCTGGCGTGGCGCCTGGAGGGTTCATGGCGTGCGTGATTGACGAAAAGCGCGCGAAGTTTGCTTGCGCGCGCTTTTCGTGACGTCAGGGTCATCTGACTGGGCGGTATCGCCCGCCGCAGCCATTCAGCGCTTGGGATGCGCGGGCTCCGCGAAAGAGGGGGTGAAAAAAGAGGAGGTTGCCGGCGCGCCGAGAGAGTGCCGGTGTGGATAAAGGAGCGTCGCTACTTTCCAACATCTAGGGGTTTTAGACTCTGCGTGCGCGCAGCGCCACAGTCGACATATGCTACGGGGTGATGGGGTTAAAACGTCACTCCGCTCTCCCAGCGTGGCAGATAGCGGAGGAGGGAAGACATGTCGGTATATGAGAACGACAGAAAAGGCAACAAAGCCCATGCAAAAGCGGCGGGCTTTGCCCGCCGCGTTTGCACACAGTGGATTGAACACAAACATGTACGCAAACATGCACACAGTAGATTGAACCAACGCGTGATTATCGCTGAATGGGCTCGTTTTCGTCGTGACACCTGTCGAAAAATATTCGTTAAAGGAGCCCTGAAACACTTTTTCACGTAACCATAGAATAAATTCACTAGAAGAGCTTATTGCGTCACGAATTCAACGCCACAAAAATCCGTCCTGGGAGAGTGGAGTTGCAAAGGTTTGTCGCATGCTGCAATTTCATTATCTCTTCTGTCGTCCCGACCAAAGCGCTGGAAGCTATAGAGGGAGGGGTGTCAAGGCAAAGAAACTACCACGCCTAGTAAACTTGAGCACTTTTTTTTCTTCAAATGCGCGACTTTTTAGTGTGATCGCGCGCGCACGCGTGGACAAGTACCGGCCTCCCGCGGCTATCTCGGTAACTTGAATTTTCGGTCACAGAGCACAGACAATTTTTCGCTCACAAACAATGGGGCTGACGCCGACGGCGGCTTTTCTGCGACACAAGCTTTTTAACGCTATCGCGTTAAAACACTGTCACGTCGTTGGGATAGATTAGGCACGTCTTTCACTTCAATCCTGAAAGTATGGTGTACAGGAGCCTTTGAAACATCACTGGTGCGGAGCGCAAACGTAAGAGCAATGCGTTAATTCATATTGCTAAAAGCATGTATATTTATATTCTAGGGAGCGACGCGCGTGTGTGCCTGACGGGGAAGACGAAGGGTTGTCTCCGCTCGATCGCTGGTCGACCGGTCACGCCATTACCGCTGGTTTTGAATACATCTAATCCCCCGCCTCCTCGATACGGAGTCTCTTTTTTTCTGTAACAATATAAACCATCTGGCGTCACAAAAGCAGTTTTCTCCCCGTCTCTTGGGTGTAGCTTGTGGGAATCGAGGCTAGCCCGCCGCCAGTGCGTGCGCTTTGGCACCTGCTTCTGCCGTTCTCATGTCCTGACATGAATCTTCCCGCCTCCACGTCTGTCGCTCTGAGAGAGAAGAAGAGAGTATTAACCTCTCTCACCCGGTAGCGGATGTCGGCTGTGGGGCCGTGCGCGAAGTCTCTCGGGCCATTTCATGCGCGCGCGGGAGTCAGTCAGGTGTTTCCTGGACAGCTTAGGGTGAGCACGCATTTCGTTTCCATCTGTCGGCTCCTATTGTTTGGGGCTCGTCGGACTTCGCCAACAGCGCCTTGCGCCTGCGGTGAACGCACACCTTTGGTTGCCCCCTTTCGAACGCTAGGCCGAACAGCGGTGCAATGTCTTTGCGGGTGGTCACACTACGCTGACCCGTATCTCTCGAAGCCAACGCGAGCGGAGTTTCGCCCTCACTCGAGTGACCTGGCCCTTTTGTGCCAGTGTCCCCATGAATCACTTTCACCCACGGAGACGTGCTCGCCGTACCCTGTGTAGTACTTCTCGCCCGTGGCGTGGATAAGTTCATTTGCTTGCCCCCCACCCCTCTTGCTACGGACTCTGTACTGCGTTTTGGTGTTACCGCAGGCGCTAAAGTTAACGCAGGCAATAAAAATGGAAGAAACTGTAATACAACACATATGGCTGAACAGTATGCTTAACAAGTCATGAGGCCTTAATAAATCAAATATTCATTTCTCACTCTGTCATAAAGGAGGCCAACTTGATAGGTACGCCTAGTGCACTCTTTCTTTATCATGTGCTGGATGGAACACCCTACCAAGTTCAAAATATCAGGGGAGATCACAATAAAAGCGATATTACGACTCACGCACAGACCTATACGCCGACACCAATAAACTTTACATACCAAACCACACAGCGTGATATAGCACAGCAGCTGATACTCTTGCAATGTGAGGAAATATCTTTAGATAGCTTCTCTAACAAAAAATTTTCACCCCAATTACACAAGCAAGCACAGAAATGATACGACAGCGGGTACTGAAAGTAACATGAAGAGTACGATATCTACATTCTCTGCTGATTCCAACTTCGTTTGAAGTGGTTGTAGCCTGTATGGCAATAAAAACCTCCTAGTGTCATCCATGATGCACTCAAGGATTATTCTAGCATTTTTTTCGCCATCAAGGTTAGAATGTGTTGGAAGCATCACACTGCACTGTTAACGTTTGTTTCCTAATCCCCCTGTACCACCTGTGCTCTTTGCAATGGACCCATTGTAACAGATGTTGATCGCAAAGTGGAAGGGGGTCAGTGTGAACTGAAAACACTTCAGGAGAAGACAATTACCCCGTGAAATGGTTTCCACATCGGCCAAATATGTAATCAAG